AGTTGGCAAGGTTGACTTAATCGAAAAACACTCTTAATTTTGTTGGCTGGAAAAATTGTAGAATAAATCAAATTTTTCGAAGAGTAATTGTGGTACTAATAAAAAAATATAATAGTTTTAAAAAATCAATGTGATCTTTTGTCTCTATTATCTGATGCTTTTTTACTATTTAGAATAGCAGAATTAGCATTCAGAAAGTCAACCAAAAAATTCATGTAAAGATAATCTGCTAATTGTTTGCAAAACTGCTTCATGATGTTGAGGTTTATCTTAATTTTCATAAAATTGTTATGTTAATTTGACCAAGATATTTAAAGAAGTGTCTCTAACTCTTCAAGATCATTTTTTAACACTTTATTTTTTTGTTTGCTCATTATCCTATTCAAACGAGCTTGTAAGCTTGCATAAAATCAAGTCTATAATAAAAGGAACAAATTTGTTCAGAAAAGAAATCATGAAAGGGTCTTCGAACTCCATTGAATAATTATTAGACATTTAATTATTTTGATGTCCAAAAAATTTATTAAAAACATATTCTAGCATTTGAACTGTATTGCAGTATGAGTAAAAGGTGCAATAATAAAGTGAAAGCCAAATGAAGTTTTGTAATTTTTTACTTTAAATAATATCATGTAATGTAATGGTTAAAGCAATTGGTTTAACTACTTGAGTAGTTTAATAATTTTGTAGATTTTATTTATAAAGTTTTGAAATATTTTTGAAATGTTAAAACTTTTTTTTGCAAAACTTTTTCCTTCACATAACTTCAACCTAATAGGTCACTTATTACTGATGTCAGAGTGTTCATCTAAACAAACAATTTAAGTTTATTTTATATATTTTTTTATATTGTAGTTAAAAGAGATATTATATGTTAAAAAAAAAAAGTCTCTTTCAAGAACATTTAAGTGACATCAACAATTAAGCAACATTTTAATGTTGTCTAAAAGTTAAAACAATTAAAGTAATGTGGAAGTAAATTAAGTATCATTTTTTAAAAAACCACAATAACAATGACTAGAAAGTTTTTTTGATTAATAGTGTTTATTATTATTTTTTTTTAATGATAGTTTTTAATATTTTTAAAATATGCAAGGAGTATTGCTACTTTGACTTACAAATAGATAAAACATGAGAGGAGTGTTGTATTTTTCTTGTAAAACATTAGCAAAGTGTTGCTACATTGACTACTTTATAGCCTGCTGCTAAAAGTGCTGTTACATCAACTGAGGGTTTGGTTTGGGCAAGCAATCTATCATTAAAAAAAAAAAAACTTTATTCAAGTTTTAAAATTTTTTCCAAATAATGTATAACTATAAATTAATGTTAAAGATTTTATTATTAAGATAATTAATTATCTTAATAATTTTATTAGTACATTGGTTCCTTATTACATTTACCCAATATTATTTAAAATGGGTTACCCTTTCCTTTTTCTATGGCTGGTTGTTGGCCAAAGTAATTATCTAATGAATCTTGTCATACTTATTCAGTTAAAACATATTGCAACCAATTTTCAAAAGGTATTTAGCTGTATCAATTACTGAATTGACTGTCACATTGATCCCTTTATATGTTTGCCAAAATAAATATATATGAACCCTTATATAAAATATTGAAGCCTATATATGAGTTAAATTTTTGGGTTTTTGATATTTTTTTAAAGTTAAATAAAGTTAGACACAATTGTATTTAACATTGATCTTTTAAATGAAGGTAAATATTTAAGTATTAACTTTCACCTACTTTAAAAGAAAAGGTTGATTTCTTTGAGTTGAGGTATAGAAATATGAGAAACTACTATATTCTGGATTACCAGTTAACATGCTAGCCTTTGGCGAACAATCAATATTTTATATTTGACTTGGAGACTTTTTTTTCAACTCTTATACAAAATAGTACTTTTACATATTAATTTGTAAAACTAATATTTAGTATTATATCTTTAGTTATAATATAGTAATAGTAAAGTAATAAGTAAAGATATATCTTTTGTTATAATTTGTAAAACTTTTCTTCTCGATTCTTTGTTGAAAATATCATTAGAAAAAGAAATCTCAAGTAGAAAAACATTTCCACTTTTTCAAGAAGTTTCAGAGCAAAAATATATGTAACATTAAGACAAGGCATTTGCTAAAATCAAGAATAAATCTGCAATCTTTTTGTAACTATTCTTATTAATATGCCCTTATTTACAAAAAGTGTGCACTCATTGGTAGGCTGGATTCTAAAAAAATGATTAAAGCGCTCTTAAACTGGCCAGACTATGTATTTTATGAGTATAAAAAAACAACATGCTATTTTTTAATCATTATTTCAATAAAAATATTATTTTTTTTTAGATTTTATTGTTATTGTTCGATCTAATGATGCTAGCTTGGTTCAACAAACATTACAATCATTATGCTTATCAAGCAGTACTTTTGATTTTATCAAACTGCAAGATGATGAAGATTTTGGAACCTGTGATGCATTAAGATTATTAAAGAGCAAAATTAAAGTGGGTATACAACAATTTTAAAGTATATATCATGATTAATATTATTGATATAATAATTTCAATCACGATATATATAGGTGATGAGATGTCACCTTTTTATAAAGTATAAACCATCTTGCCACCTTTTTGAAAATCTCTTTATATAACAATGATTAGGGGAGATGGTATTTTTAATTTACTGAATAACATCCTGTTACTTTTTTTTCAACACTTTGAGCATTATATATATATATACAGGCCTTGTTTTAAATAAATAAGTGCTTAATGCATTAGCTTAACGCGATTTTAACGTCATAAAATTATCTTTATTTATTTTTATAGACGTTAAGTGTTTTAACGACCGCAATAAATAAATAACCGCAAACTAGTTCAATTTAACAATTAACTCAAATAACTATAAACGTTTTTAATGTAAATTTATTATGAAAATTTTATAATGTTTTCAATTGTTATTTTATTATTAATTTTAGTTCAATATTATTTAGTAAAATATATATATATATATATATATATATATATATATATATATATATATATATATATATATATATATATATATATATATATATATATATATATATATATATATATATGTATATATATATATATATTAATTTAATTCTGAAATTTGTTTTTGAATAATTGTTTTCATTCGTTATTGAATAAAAAATAATAATGATTTTTTTTATTTTTAAAATTTTCTAGAGTAAACAAAAAATATTAATATTGATAAACACAAACCCATGTTAATTATTTAAACAACGATTTTGTTTTGACTAGCAAAGAAAACTTTAGGTTTTTAAATATTTTTTAAATTTATCTTGCTTAGCGTTTCAACTTGCGTTTATTAAAAATATAAAAAGCTTTTGTCTGCTGTGAGCATATTTTTGATACACGCGTTCGCCAGGAATTCATAAATCTTTTATGTTATTGTGAAAATATTTTACTTTTTAAACAAATCACAAAGAAACAGAGCTATAGAGAAAAATCGCTTTTAACGATTAAATCTTTTTTTTTTTTTAAATTTTAGGAAATTAAAAAAAAAAATTAAATTAAATTTAAAAGTCTTAATTATGCAAACTCTTTTGTTAATTATTCTTAAAAAAAAAAACAAATACTTCTACCCAAAACTTTAATCGTGCAAACTTGAAAAAATACTCAACTGAAATAATTTAAGTATATTTAATAATTTGAATCGTATCTGTTTATAATTAAACGTTTGTAAAAATTTGTTTAAATTAAGTTCCTTAACTTATAAACAAACTCAAAAGTATTTTCATTCTACGTATAATTACAAAACTCTTTTTTTTTTCGTTTGTAAGCAATTTAACTTAATAAAATAAAAAAAGAATAAATATGAGGTAACATGTTAAAATATTTTAACATGGCTTGTGTTATTTATAAACCGTTGGGCAGTTGCCCTTACGGCACCATTGTTTTTGGATAATATTTTATTTTTATGAAGATCACATAACTTACATTTGATTTTAATAACGTAAGTCTTCTCTTTTTCTGTGATCATCGCATCGGCAAAGTCCCAAGATTTAAAAGTTTTTAAAGTAAATCTTTTGTCCTTCAAAATACAATCTATATTTGAACTTTAATCGCTTAAGGCGTACGTAAATCACTCTAGGCGTAACGCTTTTTAACAAGGCCTGATATATATATATATATATATATATATATATATATATATATATATATATATATATATATATATATATATATATATATATATATATATATATATATATATATATATATATATATATATATATATATATATATATATATATATATATATATATATATATATATATATATATATATATATATATATATATATATATATATATATTAGGACCCTATGAATCAATTTGGTTTGAGATTTGATTTGAAAAAAACGATGTGAGTTTTTGGAATATCTATTTAGTGTTGTTTTCTTTCAGATATCCAATGCAAAGATGCTCAGGGGCATGGTGTCAGTAAAAAGGCCCATGCAGGATTTTATTAAAGAGGCTATATATGGGGGATTTTACCATATATGATGGATGTAAAGTCCCATACATGTCCGGCACTTGTCCTGTAAAAAATGACATCTATCTGTTGTTTTTTCTGACCCATATTTTGTGTGCATTTATTTTATAATTATTTTGATTGTTGTAAAATTATTAATAAATTTCAGTAGTGTATATAAACTTAATCTTTCTTCTCGTACTTCTTTTTTGGGCTCACCTTATCATCGCACCACCTACTACTACCCTAAAGCTGACTGGGATTCCTTTTGTGATTTTCTTCGTGATGGTCCTTGGGCTGATGTTTTTTCTCTCTCAGCTGACAAATGCGCCTCCTACATAACCTCCTGGATTCAGGCTGGAATGGAAGCTTTTATTCCTTGGCGTCGTTTTCAAGTCAAGCCTCATTCTACTCCATGGTTTTCTCCTTCTTGTGCAGCTGCTATATCCAATCGTAATGATTTCATCTTTTTCAAAAGAACAACTCTCTTGAGAACAAACGGCTATCTATTATTGCAAGAAATCAATGTAAAAAGGTGCTTTCTGATGCTAAACTCCATTATTCTCAATTCACTAAATCTCGCATCTTATCACAGAAGTTAGGCTCTAAAGACTTTTAGAAAATCTTCAACAGCATTATTAACAAGGGTAGATCTAACATTCCATCTCTCATTCATGGGACTGATCTTATTACCTCTCCCAAGAATAAGGCAGAACTATTTGCAAAGAACTTTTCTTCTAATTCCACTCTTGAATCTTATGGACATTCTCTTCCTTCCATTCCAGTCAAACAGGTTGACCCATTGTTAGACATTCAAATCACTCTGTTGCTTAAGTCATATCTCAATTAAACTCGTCTACAGCTTGTGGTCCAGACAACATTCCTGTCACAGTCTTGCAGAATTGTTCTCCAGAACTTTCTTCAATTCTCTCTAAACTATTTAACAAGTGTTTGACTGAGTCTTGTTTTCCTGCTTGTTGGAAAATGGCATCTGTAGTTCCAATATTCAAAAACTCTGGAGAAATTTCTGACCCCTCCAATTATCGTCCGATCAGTCTTCTTTCTGATATTAGCAAGGTCTTTGAGTCTTTGATCAACAAATTCCTCACATCTCATCTTGAGTCAAATAAACTACTGTCAGACAATCAATACGGTTTTTGATCCTCTCGCTCTACGGCCGACTTGCTAACTGCTGTAACTGAAAGATTTTATCGTGCATTAGATGGAGGCGGTGAGGCTAGGGCTATTGCTCTCGACATATCTAAAGCTTTCGACAAAGTTTGGAATGCTGGTCTTCTCCATAAGCTTGCTTCATATGGTGTTTCTGGGAAAGTTTTTGAGATTATCAAATCATTTTTTTCTAACCGGTTTATTAAAGTCATCCTTAAAGGCCAACACTCTTCTTAATTTCCAGTAACTTCTGGGGTTCCCCAAGGTTCCATCCTGGGCCCTGTTTTGTTTCTTATCTACATAAACAATCTTCCTGACAACCTTTCATCTAAAGTACCTTTCATGGAAACCATATATACAATCGATTGCTAAATTAGCTTCTGCTAAGGTTGCTTCTCTTTATTGCGCTCGCCATTTTCTTACTTCAGATTCCATTCTCTACCTCTACAAATCTCTTATTCGTCCCTGTATGGAATACTGTTGTCATATTTGGGCTGGTTCTTCTAACGATTCACTTTCTCTTCTTGACAAGGTCCAAAAACGCATTGTAAATGTTGTTGGACCTGGACTATCTGCTAAGCTTGAACCTCTTTCCCATCGTCGTAAAGTTGCATCTCTTTCTCTTTTCTACAAATACTATCATGGTCACTGCTCAAAGGAGTTATTATCTCTAGTTCCATTAACTAAAATTCATTCTCGTTTTACTCGTCATTCAGCTAAGTTTCATTTGTTTACTGTATCTGTCCCTGCATGTTCTAAAAACTTTTATTTATCTAGTTTTTTTCCCCGCACTTCACTCCTTCGGAACTCTCTTCCATCTTCATGTTTTCCTGACTGATACAACCTTCAACTTTTCAAGTCTTCTGTCAACCGTTTCCTTGCTCTATAACTCTGTTCTTTTTTTTCCTAGTAACTCCCAACTTGATACTGGTTGCTTGCAGCCTTGTTGGGAGTGAATGAAAATAAAAAAAAAAAAAAAAAAAATTTTTTGAACTTTTTATTTTTCATACAAAACAGAAAATGAAGCTACGTTAATAAGATATGCCATTTTTTATATATAATTTATTTTTTAAAAGACGCCTATGCATTTAAGTTCTTTGAATTAAGCAGCCCAGTTTTTATCATATATATAAAAATGTTGCAATTACTTATTAATTTAAATTTATTTTAGTATTTGTTTTATTTTTTGTATGATGGTGTTTTTAAATTTCCAACGAATATTTTAGCTTTTAAAATCCCTTTTTAAATTTATTTTATAAAAAACTTAACATAATAGCTTTTTTAATGTTCATGGAAACTAGTATTTTTTATTACACTATTAAATTTGAGTTATAATACATAACGTTTGCTTTCGCGCCAAAGTTTTTCGCTTAGTAAAAGTGTTCATAGAAAAAGTTTTAAAAGATTTATTAAAAGATTTATGGTTATAAATTTACCTTAAAGGTTAAGGATCCAGTATACTTTACAACATGAAAATACATACATACATACATACATACATACATACATACATACATACATACATACATACATACATACATACATACATACATACATACACATGAACAAAAAAGTCATGTACTTGAATATATATAAATATTTCTTACATTTAACAATAACCCTTAACCAATTGAAAAACAAAGATTGTTTACATAATAACCATAAGAATGCTATTGAAGACTGTTTAGTGCAAAACTAAAACAAACTGGCTTATCGACGTCAGATAAATTTTCTTAGGATAAAAAAAACTAACAATATGGTAGTCGATCTATAAAGGTTATGATTTTACCTTATATATTTTAGAATATTATACG